TATTAACGAGTTTTTAATACGCTATTAAATAGACAAAGTTTGCTCCCCCCCTCCAGATTGAAAAAGTCCCGATTCCAAGAGTTTTCGTAAATAAAATAGTTGTAGGTTACGATGAGATGAAACTATTACGAAGTTTCAGATGGATGTTAATAATTCGATAAAAAGGAGTACCACGGACTATGTAACCGTTCAAAACAAGTGACAAAAAAGAACCAGGCTATACTTATAAGTAAAAAAGACCCAAATCGTCAAAACAGATTAGTAATAATAACAATCATATTAACAGATAGTTAATAATAACAGTTATATTAAGAGGTAGTTAACTGTTAAGCTGGATTTATTGTATATATAGATTATATAACTTATTCGAAAATGTGTTGATAGAGATAAATGTCCACTTTTTTTCAAGAATAAAACTTTTTTTTATCGCTTTCTAATAAGCATAAAACGTGACTTCCTTGAAAAATACAAAATGTGAATTCTCTGATTTTCTGCGATAGATCAAATCACAGTATATATGTAAATTTCCATTGCTCTTTGAGTCTAATATCACAATTTCAGATACTTTCCAATATTTGCGAGACAATATAATTTTTTATTACTTCAACTTACCTATATATGAAAGATATAGTAAGGGAAAGTATTGCGAAAATGAAAATCATAATACAATCCTTTCAGTTAACAGAATGACTAACCCCAATTTCAACATTTTTTAGTAAAGTCATTTCAGTGATATTTCTAGTAGAAACATTTATAATATCTGTACAGACACTGAGTAAGTTGATTCCAGGATAGGTGATTGCAATGTTCAAACATAGAACTGTGAATAAAGGTATAAATTTTCTCAGTAGGAATATCACTAAAATTAATAATGATGTTGAAATTGCAGTAAGTCATTCTATCAACAGAAAATCTCATATACACTAAAATGTACAACGAAATGGTTGGCTGAAGCGTCAAAGGGAGGATAATAAACAAGAGGACCCAAACTTGTAACATATAGTTTTGTAAAGACTTGTTTCTATAATGTCCCTCTTATAAGACTTGGCGAACCGGTTCATAATTCATGTTTTTTTAAAATAAAAAATAAGAGAACCGCGGTTTTCCTGTTTAGCAACCAGCATTAAATGAAATGGTAGGTAATAATTTTCTTCTGACATAAAAAAAAAAAAATAATATTAATTCATTATGATGTTCCTGTTCTTCCACGAAGTGTTGGTTAACCTTTCGATTCAATGCTATCGTGATAAATTATCAAACGAATAGATTTATTTTACTATAAAAAAGAAAGAAATCGAACTAATATGTACCTATTAATGTTAATAAGTTCAATTATTTATTTTTTTAATTTAATTAATTTAGTTCTACTTTTTCATGTGTCTATACAATCACGACGTTTCTTATCTGCATTATTTTCAAAATATGTTTTCACGACTGCACGTTGCGATGCCCTAAAATATCGCTGTTTTTTTTTTTTTCTAAAAGCCAATTCATTAGAAACATATATACTGAAAATATGAAAATAGGCCAAACTGAAAATATGAATTAAGCACCTCAATACAAAAAAGAAAATCCTCTGAAGGTATGTCCGCAAACGCTTTGTTTAGGAGATATTCACACCTAAAGATTTTCATTGTAATGAATTGTTTACGTTCTATTAAGTAAATAAAACTTATTTATTTGTGTGCCAACTACTTTATTAATTAAAAAACGTAAACATTATATTCATATTAAATGTTGTTCAAAGTGATTTCCTTGAGCATTAAGACAGGCTCGGCATCTTTCTTCAACAGCAGTAGTGGCAGAACGTCACTGGATATATGTTATTGTTTCACAAGATTCAATTATCCTTCTTGGTAAGGAATTAAGGCGATTGACCGGGCTTGCATAGGCTTTTTGTTTAATGTCATCCTAAACAAAAAAATTCAGTGATGTAAGGTCTGGAGAGCGTACAGGCCAAGCCACTGGTCCTGCACGACCAATGCATTCATTGGGATAATTAACATTTAGCCATTGTCGTGGACCGCTTTGGTAATGTGCAGGACAGCCATATAACTGTAGCTACACGTCCTTTCTCAGTTGTAGTGGAATATTCCGGGTTTTATTTATTTCATATAACGTAAATAATTCATAACAATGGAAATCATTAGGTGTGAATATCTGCTAAACAACAGACTCCTATTTTCTTCGCGGACATACCTTCAGAGAAAATTTATTCTTCTTTTCAGGCCCTTGGTTCATTTTTACAGTTTGGCCTCTTCACTCTGAAATATCCTGGATATAAATAATCAGCTTCAACGATTTTGACTGAATTACTCATGCTAATGTGAAATTTGATGGTCTTTAAAATTGATTAGGCCTTATCAGCTATTATATGTAGAACAGTCGACTAATTTCCTTTAATAATTCATTAAATCACAGGGACCAAATTGAAATGATTTGCCAGGGCTTAAATTCCAAATTTTCAACATTAGAAATAATTAAAGAACACTCGTTACTAGAAGAGATGAATACAACATTTCTCAACAACAACAGCGGCTCAAGTGTGTTGAGTTGCTAAATAACATAGCATACTCATCAATCAAACAATAGATAATATTAGAAAAAAAAAATAGAGAGAGTTAGGTCGGACCATTGAAATTTTATCAGATATGCCAAGAACTGTTTATAGAATCAGACTTTGGGCTACATGCAAAAAGCATGGTTCGATAAAATGGCTTGAAGATGACTTACGGGCCGAAACGTAGCTATGAAAATTAAAATAAATTTGGTGAAAAAATTAACAGAGCCTTATTATATAAGTTTATGTTAATCGTTTTTATTTGTGATGGAAGTGATATTCTTTAAAGTTAAAGTTCATTAACATTAAAAAATATATATATATTTATAAAGAAAGTAGGGTGGTAAGTAAATAGTAATAGTTAGTAATGGTGGTAATACACCGCACCAGATTTTTCACAATCGAAACTAGTGTATTTATATTTGTTTTATAAAAGTCTGAACACTAATTCAAAAACAAAGGGGGGGGGGAAAGAATAATAAAAACAGGAACCATTTAAAACCCAACTATCATCAAAATATCATTTGTGAATCAGGAAATAAAAATTGTCTTATAATAACCTGAAATAAACCTAATGAGTAGTCATATTATATAGTCATTTAGTGCCTAACGAATGCTTATATAACTGATTCCGGAATGTATATAAACAATAAGGTAAATAATAAAGTAACAATAAGTAAATAGGGCAGGAGCACCAGTAATTGAACGCTTGAGCCAACTTCTATCATAGAAGTTTTCAGAAGTAACCCTAGAACAAAATGACAAATTAACTGTTTTTATTTTCCTACCTATACTAGGTAAGGAAAGTATTGCAATCGAGTCAAATTTCCGATATGCGGTTTCGATGGATCTATACGTTTCAGAGCCCCCTGAGTGGTGAAATTCCGTACATATAAAAATCGTTCATTTCGGGCAATTATTAACAAAGTTACAGCTATTCAATTTCCAATGTAAGTTTACGGGTTCATATCCTGGTCACAAAGGGGAGAATGAGAGAAAAAAGATAACTAAGTGAAAGTAAGAAAATCTGTTGCTCGCATCACACAAGCTTCACTATTTCCTCTACTTTTAATTATTGTTTCACAATATTAGGCTATGGCAAAAAGTTTTTGATCAGAAATATTAGAGGGTATTGACATTTGTACATTGATCTACCTTAGGTCGGTTTACGTTGCTTTAATTTATCAAATAAATCGTATTCAAATATTTTCTTTGGTCAATTTTCAGGAAAATAAATCTAATTCAATTTTTTTAGTTTCTTGATGGACATATGTTAAGATATAAAAACTTTTCTGAAATAGATAGGGAAGTCGTGTGAGTGGACACACCAGATTTTTTTTTATTTATTCATATTTACAGCTGTATTGATATAAATACATCAAGTTAATTTGTACACAGGAACATAATCACATAAAAAAGCTTGTTGAGAAATTAAACACTGGTAGCACTCGAATAATATTTCAACATAAGGAGTTCACGTGGCCATTTCTTTTCAGACGCCTCGAAGGGTTATCAGGGATCTAATAGGAAGACAGGTTAAAAACGAGAGGGTTTGGATGGTTCTGAACATTATCACGGAAGGATAGGTATCTGACTTGGGCCAAATCGAAAACATAAGGAACATTAAGGTTGTTATGGATAAATTTATTAGTAACAAAGTAAGGAGCATTGAGGATTTTGGATTGTAGGGATTGTATAGGTGACGAATTCGATAGCTATATGGAGCCCTAGATCTGAACTTCGTAAGTCTAAATAGGTCTAATTGTAGTCATGCATATGATTTGTAGTCATGTCTTTTGTCATTAACTGAAAGCTTAGAGCGTTTGAGTAGTAAATGCTAGAGTAGTCGGAAACGGCGAGTGGTTTCTTGTCGTTTCACTCTGGTAGAAGGTTAGACTTTGGTCCAAGGTATAGGATTTGTTCAACATAGAAAAGTGGGGTATTATTAAATTATACGGTAGGACGGGAGGTCATAGGTTTACGACGGAGGGTAAAGGTGATTACGGGATTAGCTGGAATTTATTTTAATCCTCCAGTTTTGACATCATTCTTCAAGGTTTTTTATGTGTGGTTGGAGAGTTTGGGATGCAATTGTTGGGTCATTATTAACTGATAGGATACATGTGTCATCGGCATACGTTAGGATGTCAGCTGTATAAACTGTGTAAAGGATAGGACGTAGGATACTACCGTGAGGAACACCAGCGGACTGGGAAAATGGGGATGAATAAGCGTTATTTTGATTCACTTTAAAGTATCTATCATTTAGGTAGGAAAGAATAATGAGGAAGTATGTAGGAATTGACGGAGTTTGTAAAGCAGTCCCGGGTGCCATTTTAATTTTTTTCAACAGTATCTTTTATTTATTTTTTCTAGTACATTAATATATTTATCCTCATACATTAATACATCAATGTAATATGGCATACACCTGTTTCAGGAGATCTATGGATACGAAAGCTGCGCGACCTACAAGGTGGTCACCTACTTCCTGATATTGGTCAGCCTGGGTCTGCTCAGGCTGGTCTTCCATTGGTGGCCTCAACTTTGGCTCTACTGCACGCACAAACCTGCAAATCTCCAAAAGGCACAGCGTCTTCTAGTAATCGTAAGTGAGCTAATCTATAAGTACTTAAACGTAATGGGGGAAATATATACTGGGTGTAGTGTTGCCCAAATGCGAGACCGAGACGAGTCTTAGACTTGCAAACTCAGTCTTAGTCATGGCGAGTCTCGCAAAAATCTTGCAGTTACTTATTAGCTTATTACTACAGAGATATTATTGTAATTTTTTATATAGGACTAACTAACTACCTAGCTAAGGTAGACTAACTAGGACCTAACTAAGCCAGAATAAAAAAATAGGGGAGTAAAATGCAGAAGTATATTGGTTATACCAATTCTTTAAATATAGTAACTAAGATTGTCAAGTATTAGTAACTATTTTGCCCTATTTTTATTTTAAAAAATGATTTTTTTACCAGTCTTGGTCTTGGTCTTGCAACAGTTAGACCGATTTTGGGCAACACTAACTGGGTGTCTCAGGGGTTAAGGCAAAACTGTGGGATACAATTCAAGCTACAATTTCCAACAAAAAAGTATATTTGATGCACGGGCCGATTACAAACGTAAAAGGAGTCAAGATCAATTTTATGTTTTTCTTACGGTAATCCCGATTTTTATTGAATAAGAAGGAATTGCCCCAAAACTGTTCAAGATGGTTAAATTTTAAGTACACCATCTTAAATTAGATAATTTTCTTTTAGAAAACGGTGTTTAAATTTACTAAGGTCAGTGCAAAAAGGATCTTTCAGGCCTAATACGGCAGCTTCATGTTCCTCTCAAAAGAGCAAGTATTTCTGGCATGACATTCATAAAGTGCCATAGATAGGAAAATATATTGACATTTTTATATGATAAACGCATATTTACAGATCTAGTATTTTAACTCAGCTGCTAGATTTTGATATTTTCTGGAGTTTTTTCAACACAAGCTGAATTAGAGTTTCCACCATTTGGCAAAACCATATCTATTATTTCAGCTGTCTTTAAGTTACCATCCATCAAAACGATATCAGACCTGGTTTTGATCGTAGCATGTTCTGTTATAAATGACTGATACTAATACAGTTCTATTCCTAATCTCCGAATAACTTATTTAGGGTTGTATTGATAATAACGCATCTAATCATACATTAACTTTCTTTTCAGACCTATCGGCTGTAGATAGATTTTTAGAACATAGTCATGCCTTTTGAGATATTCTATTCTTCTTGTTATTGTTATGATTATTTTATTGGTTTTAAGAAATAGTTAATATAAGTTGAACTTATCACGGAAATAATATTTATTAATTATTCCAACGAGTCCTTCAATTCCCTAAACTTTGATATGTGATTAATGATCCGAATTACAACCATGAAGATTTGGAAAACACTTATAGAATCCGATAGAATAGAATTCGTAGCCATCAACGAAACCAAAGAGACAGGACAGACTGTTCCATTAAAAACAATTCAGAACTCATTAAAAAGAAAACAAAAATTCAGTGAGATAAGAAAATGAACTAATAACCCGACTGGAATCTACTGTCTGATTTTATCAAACTATTTGTATATACATTCTAATAGGGTGTAAAAAAAAATGACAGTTTTATCAAATTCAAGATTTCAAAGGACTATAAATATTTTAATCCTATTTAATACTTAGTAATCCCTTTAGAGCATTCTCTAAACTTGTTTAATCCCATTCGACTACTTCAAAAAAAGCCTGTTTATTTGTTTAAAAAAAAAACATGACAGTGTCCTAGGAAATTCTCGTAATTTCAAAGCATTACTGAAAAAAAAAAAAAAAAATCACAGCCGCTGAAGCAACTCGTGAAATTATTAAATATGGAGGAAAGAGTGTCTCTGACTAGTGCACTGCGCGGTGTTGGTTTCAAAAATGTAGCAGTGGAGATATGACGTAGGTAAGGAAGAAGGGCTCCGGGCGACCATTAATGGATATTGATGAGGTTTTGCAGGAAGCTGTTGGGTCCAATACGTCCACAAGTACCCGCGAACTTGCCAGGGAGTGTGGTGTGTCGAAAGATACTGTCACCATCAACTCTCCATGGGGAAGGTGAAAAAGAGCAGTAGACTGGTTCCTCACGAACTTGTTTCTCAGCAATCAGCTAAGAGGTTAGAAATTCGTAAAAATTTGTTGAAAAACCCTCATGATATGAGATTTAACCGGCCGACAAAATTTCGAATTTCCTTTTCCGTTCGAAATCAGATCATACATCAAATGAAATATTTTGTAGGAAATTTTGTCTAGAATCACCTCCCAGAGTTTAATCTTTGTTGTAGGGAATTCACCTGTTTTGCAAGTGCCCCCCCCCCCTCAGATAATTCCTGGTATTCCACTGCTTCAAACTTAAGACATTTGGATTATATCGATACAATATTGTGTTTAATATAAAAAATAAAATTACTTAAGCCAACATTAGCTACATATGATGTGATGAACATTATTAAGGTATTGTAAACAAAAATAAATTTCAAAACGGTTATTGTACTGAAAATAGTCTATAGAAAGGCCAAATTTCCAAAACATCTTAACGAGGGGAACAAGAGTCCCATTTTTGTTGGGACTATTCCACATCCTTCAGACGCTGATGATGGAAAATACGATCAAAATAATTGGAAGTCGTCAAAATTTTAGATTTCCTCCTCACTTCATAGTATATTTTCATAAGAGCTCAGATTTCTTAAGGAAAAATCTCATGTTACCAAGCAACATCCAACAATGAACGCATAATAGAATGTTAATGTCAATGATAGGCATAATCTTAATAACATTGAAAACCATATCTGGATTTAACATTAACAATTTATCAGTTGTAAAAGGATGTGGGCTTTCACAAATTCCGGATCAGACCGGTATAGATAAGGATGTTCTATATCAATTAAATAAAATCTTTATCGAAGACATGACGGTTATGAATGGAAACTAATAGGCAAAAGATTGATAACAATCTTTAATATTATCAAAACGATGGAAAGAATCCATTCTTCAGTTTTTACGCCTTCTTAAACAAATAATCAATTGTAAAAAATACATCAGTCGCTAATACTTGAACTGTACACCCGTCATTCAAATAATTCAGAGAACAATTACCAATATGACGATGAATAAAACAAAAAAATATGTAAAGTGGTACAAGCCATAGTCCAAAAAGGGCAGAGGGAGTTTGTCTATGATAAATAAACGTTTATACATTATAAACATATTACATAGGAGTTGGAAAAAAAAATTAATGAACTCTATATATATTTATATATATATATATGCTAACACAGTTGTATTAGCCAGGTAAAATTAGACATGCTATCTTGCAAAAGGTTGGGTAATTCAAATTTCTTACCTATATTGTTAGCACAGGCGGATCTAGGGGAAGAGAGGGAGGGAGGGGAGGAGGGCTTTCGGGCTGAAGTCCCCAAAATTGTAAAATATAACCATGTTTTATAGAAAAAAAAATATTAAAAACGATCTATTAAGCTATTATTGTTCGTGTAATTACATTTAATGGGACTTCAAGAATCACTAAGACATCATGTCATATGGGTAGTTAGTTTCCTTCTTTTTTTTTTTTTTTTTCAAATTAACTATCGTTATTTATGTATGAATAAAAAATCCTTCGGGCTGAAACCTCCTCCAAAAAAAAAATTGAACCCTGGATCTTTTAGTGATTATTAGGTATATAGTAAATATAAAAAATCCAAGTTTCCGCCCTTAAAAGCATTGTGGGTTCGCTACAGTGCTCCAAAAATCACTAAAATTTGGAACTATTATTGGTTTTTGCTAAATATCTCCTTTTTAGAGCGACATAAGTATATAATGGTTATATCCAATCATATACAGCTTAAAATTTTCTAATATGTTTGTACATAACATTTTTTTCCAAACCCAACAGGAAGCGAACTATCGAGCTCTCAAAATTTACTCATTTCGATTTCTTCACAATAGTGCTTCTCATTTTCGAACGGAAGGATTCTGTAACTGCATATCTCGTCCAGAGAATTTGGAGGTTTTTCTTGAAGATAATGAGCCATTGGCAGGAACGGTAGACGGTAGTCCAGACTCCCCGTGCATCCTTCCCTCCAAATCTTAATAAATTCCATACAGTATTGCTCCTTGTAACTGTTTATTAAAAAAAACAAAAAAACAATATTGCCACAAAAAAAAAAAAAAAACTGTTGCACTCTCCCAAAATGGCGGACTGACGTCTTTGACTTGAGTTAGTTTTTCGGACACTCAGATTCATAATTTCATCATAAGCTTTCATTAAAGCTGGATAGTTAGAGAATAATAAAACATGAAAAAAAAAAATAATAATTGGCATCGACAGTAAAAACCATCGATAAATTCAATTTTTTCTAGTCGTTCAAACTAAAGTTGATAGTCAAGCGTCCTTTGTATATAAACGGCCAACAATAAAGAAAACGCTCTGGAATAAAACATCTGGAGAAGAGATTTTTCTTTCTAAAATACTGATTACTTTCAAAAATAAATGAAACAGTTACTTAGAGAATACACTTGATCGGCGGAAAAAGACACTGGCATAGGCGTCTAGACTCCTCTGCCACATCATTCCGTACTCATAAATGACATAATAACGTTATAATAATATTATTAATAAATAATAATTAAATTTTTCAATAGATTTTTTTTACTTCATATATTCCTGTATAGCAATATGACTATGCCATTTTATGAGTAATGAATGATGTGGTATGAATTGGCAGTAAAAGTAACAAGAAAAACAGCAATTATTGATGACCGATTTCATTAAAATGAGTGGAAAGCATTAAAAACAGCATTATAAGGATTTTTTTAGAATTTCTTTTTAACGATTAGTATTTAAGTTGTTAAGTTTAGAAAAATATGTTTCATATAAAAGCTGTAGTAAATTGTGTGTGCTTTTTTGTATGGAAAAATCGGTGTTGAAAAAAACAAACAACTGGGACTAAAAAACAAATTTTGTTTTTATCAGGATAATGACTGCAAATACTCAGCTAAGTTATTTAAGGAATGGCTATTTTATAAGTGTCCCAAAGTTATAAAAACTTCACCACAGTCACCAGATCTTGATGTGATAGAATAATTGTGGGCAAAATTGGAGGTCGAATATCTTCTCGAAGAATGGAATAGGCTAAGCCTGGAATTCACCAAAAAATTGGTCAACTACATTAAAACAGACTGAAAGATGTGGTAGAAAATAATGAATTATCTACAAGATATTAAACTAAATTAATAGTAATTAAAAGTTAATAAGAAGTGGAGGTGTATCATTTTGACTGTGAAGCAAAATTACCTTTTTTTTTTTTTTTTTTTTTTAAATAGTTGCATATTTTAATTTCATTGAGTTTGTACATATTTAAATTGAGATTATTAATAGATTTCTTAACAAGTTTCTAATTTTATTTGTTTACTGTAACCATTTAAGTATGTTTTTTATTTTTCTACAGAGTGCATCAATTTTACAATCAGCCACTGTAAACGACAATGCTCAAGTTTTAATGTTCACTGTTGTAATGTGCATGCTCAACTACGAATTTCGTCAGTCATTGAATCCGAATAGGTTATTTTTGTTTGCTTGTTCGAATCTTATGGTCAAAACCATACTTTACTGAAATGAAATATAACAAGAGTAGGATAAAAATTAATTAATATATACTTAAACTAAGATGGCAACATCATTTAAATGATAAATTGTTTGATAAGAAGTAAATAAAAAAAAAATGTATGGCCCAATTAACAATCAATTTCAGCTCGAAAGGAAAAAATTGGCTGCTAAGATTTTGAGAAGTTTATTTACTCATGTTTTATTTTGGTTAGCCTGTATATGAAATATATAGTAATAGAAAGTAAAGCAATCATGAAAAATTTTGAATCAGAGTTTTCAACAGAAATATACTTTGTGAGTCCACCTGAATCTAAATAACCAGGTTTCACAAAACGCTGTTTGTATCAAGCTCAAAAATGAATAGAGGTATGACACTGAAATTATATATTTAAGGCAGTGGTTTAAAATGAACAAAAAATATATAAGAACAGGTAAAAAAAATATTGAATCAGAGAGAACAAGTGAGCGAGAGAAAAAGAACTAAAAACGTTTAGTCAATATTATTTAAAACCTACTTCTACCAAAAAACACATATATTTTTATAAATTATATCTATTAAATGTTTAAAGTTGCTGAGATAAATATAAAATAAAAGAAATAATGAAAACAATTTTTTCTTTAGCTAACTTTTTTTTTATTACTTTCTGTCATGTTATGAAATACTTTAATGTAATGAGCTTTAAAACCTAAAATAAAGATTAATGTTTTGTAAATAAAAAAAAAATCGTCATTGATCTTGTATAATTATTATTTCTTACCTCAACAATTTACAATTTACACAGAGGTTATAAATTTCCTCCTTAAATAATTAATGAAGAGTACCTACTTTACAGAGGCAGGGTGTGTGCCCCTCTCTCGACCCCAGGATTGATCCATGGCTGATAAAATAGAATAAATAATTACCTGCTATCATCAGTCGAGCCGAGGATCTTGAGGTTTGGAAACCAGCACCATACCCACTGAGCTACTCCGCTCCCTTCCATTTTATTATTATTATAATTAAATAATTTGATTTAATAAAAAAATATCAATTTAATAAATAATTTGATTAAAAATATATTAATATATATATTAATAAAAAATTTGATTATGTAAACAAATTGTTAATAAAACAAAAACTAATTGTTCTTCCCCTTGTTTACAGGATACTTACGAGAAGAGGTTCAAATCTATATTCGTCAAAGAAGTGAAGAAAGTATTTCCTTTACCCAACAGGTAAAGTGTTTAATTAAATAAATGATTGTTTTATTAGGTGCCAGACGTTTTATCCAAACGCCAGGTATCTTCAAGATAATTTGTATTTGTCTTACAATAAAAGGAATGTTTGACATTTTTACAATGTAATACTACAGCTGCTAGGGTCATGGTATTGTTTACAGTTGCTAATAAAAATTAATCTCATTGCGAAATTACACTCTTTTCGAAGAAATTATGTTTTAAATTCATGTTGAGCACAGCTTCATATCATATCTAAGTCAAAATCTATGTTAAATAATAATCCTAAAATTATATTATAGTTAATAATTAAATTACAGCTAAAGCATTATTCATTAAAACAAGAGTATATTCTAAGTATTGTCATTTTCTTAACAACAAATAAAATTAGTACTTTAAAAGTTATTTTCAATTTATAATAGAATATTTTTTTTAAATAAACTTTTGATAGACATGGACAGAGGATTTTTTATTTATTTACATTCATTTTGTAGAGTTTTAACTCTATAGAAAGGGAATTGGACTTGTTACATAATATATTTCAGCCATAACTCTCATATTATAATCCTAAATATAAACAGTAGCAAGAATTATAATTAATCAAAGCATCCCTTTATTATGAATAAGATTTATAAAGAAAACTACACACACGAAAATAAGGAAAACTATACAAACGAAAAAAATAAATCTATTAAACTGAAAAACATAATATTTGAAATTCATTTAAGATAATTATTTCTTCCTTCGTTAGACTATTCAATATTTCATAGCTATACATACAAATGGACAGAGATATAAATATTATTTTAATTAACTACAGTATTTTGAATACAGACTTCTTGATTTTATAAATAAAACATATCAGTATTTTCTAAATAAGAGTAGAGATATTACAAAAATAACAATTTAATATGGTAAATAAATTATGAAATAATTGATCTTCACATATTTTTATATTTAAAATAATAATAATTACATAATAATAAAGGAATCCCAAGACCTTGATATATTAAAATTAATGGAGAATAAAGAACAATGATGTGTACCAAACATCCTAAGCATTCGTATAAGTTTTGTGAATCGGCAATGCTGAATAGATTTCACACAGAAAATTTTCTTATTTTTTGGTAAAATGTAGGTAATTTGTATGTTATAAATTCAAATGAATTTATTTATGACTGTTCTTAACTTTTTCTTTAACCTATTATTTTAAGAAAATATTATCATCCTTATAGTTGTTACAAACTAGAGAATATTTGACGAGAGTAATAAAGTTTAATCAGAAATGTTAAGTAAAAATCCTTAAGTTTTAAGAGAATCTTCAAAGACTAAGAGATTATATTATAATTTCTTCTACTCAAATGAACACCTATATTTATAATATATTCATAAAATATTTTATTTTTGCAGAAGTGAATCTAACAATAAGAACTGCAAAGCAGAAATTAAGATGGATGAAAAAGAACTAAAAACGATTTCAGTAAACCTAGCCGATGGATCTAAAATAGGTAATTTACATAATCATCTCATTCAAAATTATATGTCATTCTAAATTAGTATTAGCATTTTAGTAATATTTGTAAATCTAAATTTGCTTTAGTAGTTGTTAACAAGAGGACCTACACAATGGTTTTAAGATTGATCTTGCTGATGTTAACCACAAATTAAGAGACCCAATAAACGATATAAATATTAAAATTAAACAGTTCAACTTAAATTAATGATGTGTATGTTGAGGGTATTGGACTAAATTTTTTTTTTTTTGGAAATGATGCTTCCTTGAATAAAAATAATACAAGTTAATTTAAATCATTTATTTAAATTATTACCAAGTTTACAAGCTTTATATGTATTTATAAAAACAATGTAAACGCAATTCAAAATACAGCAGAAATCTATCAACTCTTTGGAGTTTACATGTTAAATTTTTTACACGTTAAAAGCCTTTGTTGCGCAAGACAAGAGCTGGTCCGAGTTGTATCTTTTTCTATTGGATATTTATCTGACGATTTTATCAATAAACTCAAATCTGAGCAGCTCTTGGCATACTTAAGTGCCTGCTGGCGGGAGGTGTTGTACTCCTTGAAAATATCTTTTGAAGATGGCACGCTGGAGATTTTGAAACGTTCTTTGTTTGCTGGGTTGGCCGAAGTTAAAAATGAACCAACATTTTTCACTTTGTGTTGCCGCTCTCTCCTCTGCTGAAAACCATCCCATGATGCAAAATTATGAGAATTATTTCGATACGAGTCATTGACATCTGATTTAGAAGTCATAGCTTTTGAATTCAGCGGTTTATTTATTTTAGGATGGTCTTTAATGAGCAGGCCGGAATCAGAAAATTTTTTATCATTGCTGCCATTATAAAATTTGGGAGATAAATCTCTTCTTGAATTAATACTGTCTTTCTTTCTAAAGAATTGTTTATCGTTTGTAAACATACTGGACTCTTCTGGATAGTTTCCACTGGACCATTGCTTAAAACCCATAAAATTTCTTTTCACTGCATCTGCCTCTTCAGAAATGAAGCTTTTCTTAGGAGTAACAAATGACAAATCTTGCTGAGATGAAAGTAAATTTTCAGAAGAGCTGATTGAAGTACCTCGAGAATTATTTTTTCTTTCTATGGAAGAAAATCTGTCAGAAAGGCCATTGAAACTATTATTGTTGCTGTCAGTACTATGTACCATAGACAAGAGGCTTCTTGATTTATCACAGTTATACTCAAAGTTTCTTGGATTTAAAGTATTATTGGAAGAAGTTTTTTGGATATGGTCTGTACTATAATTTTTTGAGGAAATCGAAAATCTCTCATGACCATTAGAACTGTTCCTACTCCTAAAAGTGTCATGAATAGCTGCAGACGAGTCATTTGTTGAAAGATCAGTGAATTGAGGCGAAACATCGTCATAAGAGAGGAACCCAGAATTCCTATTGTCTGTCCTAAAAACCTCACGGGAGGCTCGATTATTGAATTCTGTTTCATCTTCTATACAGTTATTCTTAGATGGATTTTTAAATTTCTCTACAATGAAGTTTTCATGAAGTTCAGAAATTTTTAAGTTTTCAAATTTAGATATATTATCATCACTAAAAGGCAAAAATCTATACTCTGACTCATTATTCTCACTGCTACTAACTATTTCATGAGCAGGATTCGATTCATTTTCTCTTTCGTGAAGTTGTAATGCTTCCGATATTTTAAGTGGCCTGGTCTTGGAAACAGTCTGCTTATTTCCAGTAAATACTTTGGAAACTGATGGCTCATTTTTTGCAGACCACTGTTGGAAATTATTTAAAGTGACATCAGTCAAGTCTGCTTTTTCTGAAATTGCCTTTTTTAAATGATTTTCTATATAACGTGGTGGATTATGTTCACGAGAACTGAAGTCTTTTATTTTCTCATTGGTTCCTGTAACATTTTCAATCTTTTTATTATTTTTATAATTGTCCCTTTTCTTTTCAGTGATCTCATATGGTGTAGACGATAAATGCAGATTCCTTTCTACAATCTGAGACGTATTATTAATTTTTTCTTTTATGAACTTCTCATTTACTTTTTTGTAATCATTTAGAATCGTTTTTTTTATAGTAAAGCCACGATTAAAAACAGGTTCTTTTGGATAGTATTCATAGCAACCATTATGTTTAACTATTGGATTGCTTGATTTCACCATAGTTTTGGGAGTGTTGATATGTTCATAATTCTGAACTTTGCAAATGAAAGGTGGTTTGGGATCAACTGATTTTTTCCGACATGAGGAGTCCACATGCAGCTTTGGTTGTACCTCATTAATCTTTGATTTAGTTGTCAAGTTAATGAGCCTCTGTTGAGCTCTACAACCGCTACTAGACATTATATTCTTTTCAGAACAATATTTCTGCAAGTTTCGATTCAATGTTTCACTTTGTGTATTCGGAGATTGATATTTAATATTAATATAGCTTTTTGGTCTACCAGTAATCAGGTCACAATCTACTCTGTGAGAGCTCCCATTTTGCAATATCATTGCAAGTTCTGTTAAATATAAAAACAATTATTAATACAAAAAATAATAATAGTAAAAAACTTAAAGAAAATAGGAACATAAAAGTTTACTAGGATCAAAATATAATAATGGACCATAGGGTATTGTACAACCATCAGGATATCTGGGTTATAAACAAAAGAAATAAAACTGGAGAAATTATAGACATAGCAGTACCGTTTGATGACCAACATGGTAACCACCAGAGGCGAAAAAATTAGAAAATATTAAAACTTGCTTTCGAGTTAAAAACACTATATCACTTGGAAAAAGTGAAGATTACTCCAATAATCATATCCTCTAATGATTTAATATTGAAAAGCACAGGTGATGGTACCCAAGAACTTGATTTAGCGCATTTAAAAGCAGCACAAAAAACAGTCCTGCTCGATACATGCAGGATTATAAGAAAGTTTCTAAATAAGTAATTTTTTTTATTTTTATGTTCATCTACATTCCCTTGAATGTTTTTTCCGGGATGTGGATGCTATTCCAGAAATCTGAGAAAGCTAAGATAATGCTAAATATATATTTGTTATTTAATGCTATAACAAACTGTAACATAACAGATATCTTCTGAAATGGTGAGAATTCAGTTAGGTTTTTAAGCCATTGAGAGAACTACCATGAATATAGAAATTTAAAGAAACTTTAAATACTCATCAGGAAAGAAAATGTAATTTTCATCAGCAATGAAAATGTAATTTGAACAATTTTGAAAGAAAAATTATAAATTGAATATTTAATAGTAATAACCGTTGCATTATAAAGGAAGGAGATGATCCGGGGTGGCGGTCATAAATAGGAGATTCTTATTCACATTGTTTTTAAATTTTGTCTGAATATTATGTAACTGCCACAATTCTCTAATTCTCTATCTTGTTGTATCTTGTCCGTTCTAGCCATGAAGAGAACCTGCAAAGTCGGGTCGAAACGTCGGCTTTTAATAAAATAGCTTTACCACTATTTAGTCTATTTATGACTGCCACCTCCTTCCTTTAAAAATTATAAATATACTTCATCACAGTCAGAGAATAGTTTGAATTTAATTTGTAATAATAAAAAATATGAAGGCTTTCTAGGAAGATTTTATTAGTTATCAAATATAGTTCTACCAAAATACAGTTTTTTGATTATTCTAATTTCATTCTCAATATGGAATACTTTAAAATTCGAATTTCCATCTATTTTAAATCTATTATATCTATTCCATTGTAACGATATGGTTAATTTTTTTTATGTAGGACCGAAATGCTCAACTTAAGCGTAAAACCATGGTTGCATGAGAGCAATGATAATTGTCCGGTATGTAATTCTCCAGAAGAATTATTTAGTTCATTAAACGGTTCTAACTGGAAAGCCTTAAGTGATTAAATACAGCAAAGATCTCAATTAGCTAGATAGTGAACAATGAATGCAATATCATATTTATTATAACGTTTATTTTTTATTGTTGTATTGTATTTTATTATTATTGTAAAAACTAAATTACTTATTTGTGGGATTTATGAGTTATTAATGCTTTTAATTTTCAATATTGTAGAAATATTATTACTCATTTATTTTATTTATAAATTTAATCAATATTTGTTACAAATTATACACAGACCTCGACAGACGGAATTTTCCATTGTTTATGTATTGTTATTTGTAAATGTATATTTTGCTTATTATCTATTTTAAATACAATAGATTTAAAATAGATTAATTTATTCCATAATTTTTTTTTTTGTCGCAGATTTATCCGAAATGAGAGCAGTATGGATTAAGAAACTTTGCTACATTTGGGTAAACAAAGAACAACAATTTATAAAGCTTGTGGGAATGGATCAATCGATTCAAAAGAGTGACCTCCAAAACAGTAGAGGATTTTCGGAAGCACAACAAATACAGAAGTAAGAGTAAAAAACTTCAAATAAGACATTAAAATTGTGTTTAGAATAGCATTAAAATCACATAATACTTCATTCTTTTAGGAGAATCGCATATGGGATGAATGAAATTAATGTACCAATTCAGTCTGTTTTGACTCTTATAGCTCTAGAAATTTTGAATCCGTTCTATGTGTTTCAAGTTTTTGCTCTTTCAGTGTGGATTTCAGATGAATATTATTATTATTCTGTAGCTATTATATTGATGTCATTATTCGGTATCGGGTCTTCAGTCTCTCAAACACACTCGGTGAGTATCTAATCATTATACGGACATTACTTAAAATTAAATATTGTTGAAGTCACATAGTGAATCTTGTTTCACGGTTGAATATTATGAATAACATTAGTCGAGTAATAAAAATTTTATCTGAATCATGTAAGATTTCTATCAATATAGATAATGAATATATAAATCAGTTTATTGTTTTTTAAGTAATATTACAAACACATTAATTAAGTAACAAATATATTATTTTAGTAGTTTATTTATTCATTATTTTTAAAATGAATACATAATTCAAATGAACTAGTAATGTAATTAAGTATTTACGAAAAAAATTTAATAATTTTAGAACCAAAGAAAGTTACGAGAAACAGTTCACTCCTCCGATATAATAACTGTAAAAAGAGGAGAGGGAGTGTACGAAGATGTAGCTACTACGGCATTAGTACCAGGAGATATAATTGTAATACCAGCTCACGGTTGTACTGTTCCTTGTGACGCTGTTTTATTGAATGGAAACTGCATCGTCAATGAAAGCATGTTAACAGGTATATAACTGATCTAAACAACCATATTTTTTTAAAGAGGAAGATGTTTTTATTTAATATATAATATAATGTTTGGCTTCCAAGGCAATTTCAAATAATCTAACATAAAAAACAGTATAATAAACATTAATGGTAATAAAAATTTATGAAAATCAACAGTTTGAAGTTCTTATTAAAAATTTGCTGCTTTCATTTTCACTTTTTACCAAACTTTGCAATTCATTTACCAGAGTTATAATCAGCCTTTTCTTTTTCTTAACTATTTTTTAGTTTTATTTATTTATTTATTTTTTTTGTAAATTTTCATTTCTTCTTCAAAAATCAAATCCCACCATTTGACAGGATATAGTTTAGACTCAGTCTAAACTATATCAGTATTTTTAACTATTTATTTTGTTAAAATTGACCAAACATGGATGATTGTAGAAAAAAGAATCAAAATTCAGATATCTAAAATTTGAACTAAGTCAACAACTGACTTGACATTTAACACATAAAAGCTATTCATATAAATTTTATCTAACTCAGAACAAGATTTACAATTAAAATAGGCTTTGTTAACTTGCTATTTTTTTCATAGCTATAGATTTTTGAAAAAATATTAATTTTATTTCACTTTTTTTACAGGAGAGAGCGTGCCCGTTACTAAAACACCTTTACCCAACAATGATACAAATTATAACACAAAAGAAGATGCTAATCATACTTTGTTCTGCGGTACTCATGTTATTCAAACTCGCTTTTATGGGTATGAGAAAGTTCATGCAGTGGTCATAAGAACAGGTTTCTTAACCGCGAAAGGAAGTCTTGTAAGATCGATTCTGTATCCTCCTCCGGCAGATTTCAAATTTGATCAAGATTCTTATAAATTTATTTGGGTGCTGGGAACAATTGGACTGATAGGATTTTCATACACAGTTTATTCGAAGGTGAGTTGGTATAATTTGCCATTTTCTAAATATTAACATAAAATATAATATTAGTATTTCACATAATGATGACTCAAATTTTTTTGTCAGATTGGAATATCATCAATTTTTCTAGGCATTCTGCATGATAATGTTTTGACATGTTCAAAAATAATTATAATTGTTCTAAGCAAAAAAAAAAAAAAAAAAAAAAAATACAAAATAAATTGTTGAAAGATTGAAGTAGAATATGGGCCTAATGAAATTGAAACAAGCTATAATAATGTATTTTTAGAATATAAGACAGAAACTATCTTTTCATAACTGGACTTAATCCTTAAAACATATTCAATACTGTTTTTACAGATGTCACGAGGAATAGCATTAGGAGATGTGTTTGTGAAAAGTTTTGATCTCTTTACAATTATCATTCCCCCAGCGTTACCAGGAGCGATGACAGTCGGAAAAATTTATGCTCTACACAGACTCAAGCGACAGAAAATTGCATGTATCAACTCCAGAGTAATAAACGTGTCCGGCTCTCTCAACTGTGTTTGTTTCGACAAGGTATAAGAGGATTTTTATAAAAAAATTTATAAATAATATGAATTAATTCTAGATTGGCTAAAAGTCTTATCTTGCTATTATTAATATATCATTGATCAAAACCGAGGAAAATAGGAAGTTGAGTATATGATTACACTTGACACCATGAAAAATATCAAACAACTGATAATTATTAATTTAATGTCTTGAATGAATTTGCATTGAATAAATATTTAGCAGTTATATGATGTTTTTCAGACTAACTTCTGGACTGTGTCCTTCATTTATCATAAATACAACCATCAATACATGCAATCTTATTTAAAAATATGATAACCGTAAAAATGTACCAGAGGTGCAATGCAATGTTGTTACATATGATATTTTAAAAAGAAATAAAACATCGATGGAAAATAATGGCCTTGAATTTATGAAAAAAACAAAAAAAAAAAAAAACTGATCTGATTAGATTGTTTGATACATGCATACAGTAATATAATTTGAAGTAATTTTATATGAAAGAAAAATTAATCTTTTGGCAGACAGGTACACTCACTGAAGACGGTTTGGACATGTGGGGAATCGTCCCTACAAAAGAGGCAGAATTCTCAAATCCTTTAAAAAACCTGAACAATATGGAACAGGATCACTTAATGTTTGGGATGGCTACCTGTCATTCTCTCACCTTAATAGATGGAAAATTGATAGGCGATCCTCTAGATGTGAAGGTGAATAATAGATTAAAATCATAAGATATATTTTAAAAAATAATAATTTATTTTATGAAATATGTAGTACTAAATTTTTTGTTACATGATTCTAGATGTTTGAATCAACCCAATGGTCTTTTAATGAAACGTCATTACCGGATGAAGAAAAATATGATCTACTAGTTCCAGCTGTTGTATCATCTCCTAAGAGGCCCGAGAAGGTAAGATTATTAAATCTTGTTACAGCTCTTGTCCAAATGAGATATTTTATATTAGACATACAAAGCTATTTTGGGTAACTGCAGCATTTAAGGATCAGGGCTATTTCTCGAAACACAAAGGTGCAATTATGCAAAACCCTGGTATCATATCAATTTATTCTTCCTTCTACTTAACTTTATTTATTTTTGGCCTATTCGGATCATTGGAATTAATTAAGATCACACTTTAATTCATGATTATTATGTTTTCATTTAAATAAATGAATAATAAATTTAATTATTTCTTATAAACTGTATACATAATTAAATTATGCTTTAAAATTTTTTAGATTGATGTTGAAATTGGTATTTTACATCAATACCAATTTTCATCGAAGCTACAGAGAATGAGTGTCATTACACGCCAGCTAGGCAGCAAAGATATGATCTTATACTGCAAAGGATCACCAGAAATGATAATGTCCTTATCAAATCAAAATACAGGTATTCATTTTCTTTTATTCGCTTATAAATTAAAAAATAAAATAAACAAAACACATAATTTATATATTACAGTGCCAAAGGATTCGCTCAAAAAGTTAAAAGAATACACCAAGGAAGGATTCAGAGTGCTAGCAATCGGATGGAAACAATTACAAAATATTGGAATCCATAAGTTTGATAAGATATTAAGAGATGACATAGAAAAAGATTTAAATTTTGCCGGTTTTATAGTGATGGAAAATAGGTTGAAGAAAGAAACGATTCCCACCATCGACGTTCTCAAAAAAGCTGAAATAAAAATTGTTATGATAACAGGTAAACATTTTCATTGATATGTGAAGTCAAATTCGTGAGACATTTAAGAACATATAAATATTTTATAAATATTATTTCAGGAGATAATATACAAACGGCCTTGAGCGTCGCTAAGGAATGTGGCATCATCGGCCCCCGTGACACAACAGTAGAACTTCATATAACTGATGAGAACTCTAAAATTCCAGAATTGGAATATCACGTGTCTCAAAACGATGATGGGCAGTGGAAAAATGTAAGATATAATTTTTTATTCAGATATTAATAAGTTACTATAAAAAATAAAAAGAGAAGTAAGTATATAAGCTTCTTAAGAATTTTATTTTTTTAATTAAGACAAAAATAATTTGTCACCATCGTAAAACATACATGGAAGAAAAAGAAAGGTATGAATAATATATGTTTCTAATAAATAATAGTGTTTAACTACAACTTATTTAAATAAAAAAATAGATACCTCTTTTAATTCTTATTAAATTAAATTAATTTTAATTTCTGGAGGCAATTTTTGCAAAATTTGAAATGGTTGAATTAAGTCTTAAGGTTATCTAAACTTTCTCTGTAGTACCAACAAGGTGAGGATTGAGTGGGTGCCTGGGCAGTCAGGTAATGAGAAAGCGATTACCTTGCTAGACTCGCTCTACACAAGTGCCGGTTGTACCAGAGCCCACAGAGCTCATCTATGGGATTAGCCTTGGCTGCGCCAAAAGGCATATTAAGGCAATTGCTGGTAATAAATTTAGACTATATTCGGAACAGACTAGGAAACAAAAGCATTCTAAGTTGTTCCTAGTAGAACCCTGTCACAAGAGAGAAGTGTATCACTTGTAATGGACAGGAGCTCCATTAGGTGTATGACAGGACCTGTACACTGGCCACTGTTGACTTAATAAGCACTTCTTTAACTTGGGCTTAAGTGAGACTTCCACCTGCAGGCATAAAAAAGCCTATCACATTATTTGCAGATGTGATAATTTGGCTAGACTGCAATACTTTAACTATGGATGTTATTCTAACACTGACCCTAAGCATTTCAAACTAATAGAGTCATTAGTATTAACAATTTCGGAAAGGCATTTGGTCTGTTTTAATAGAGCTATAGGACGACACACAATAGGTGTCTCTATGAGGCAGCGGTGAATCCCTAGGTCGGAAACAAAAGAAAAAAAGTTTTAAAGTTCATGAAATTTTTTAAATTGGTAGAGTGGAGAGAAAAGTTTCGGTTTTTACTTAGATTAAAACGTTTTGATGTAATGAGTTTCAAAGTAAGTCTTGTTAAGACCTTTGAAATAACCGAATCTGACAGAAAATAGAATGGTTGGCTTCTCGTAAAATAAATAAATTGTCCAGAGTAATATTAATAGGCGAATAAAATACTAATTTTTTAATACAACGATAAAACTTTTATTCATTTTCTAAATCTTTAATAATGACTATAATATCTTGATCCATTCAGAACAGAGGCGTAGATTGATAAATATAGAGCAAGGTAACAGAAGAAGCTGAGGGCTAAGGAACACGAGTGTAAAACTCGGTTATTTTAGATGACTTGGTTGAGTGAAAACGGAGCCCAAATGGCTGCAAAATGGTTAGGGAAAAACATTCGAAGTGTAAAAAAATAATTAATAATCATTTTGATGCAATTTAAGCTAAATTCATTACTTTAGTACAAGTAATAGATAACAAAAAACTTATGTTTTTTTTTTCATAACTGTTTAACCTTTCATAACATAACTAACCTTGGCAATTGAAAATGAAAATAACCAATTTTTAACTACTCATTATGAAGTTTTAAAGAAGAGTCTTTTAATAGAAAATTAATGCTTACATTTCAATTATCAAATATTATTTATAATAAAAACATTGGCACGAATATAATCACAACAATATTGCTATATTTTAAATAAATCTGATGCATAAAATTATTGCAGTAAAGCCTATTAGTATAAAAATTTACGCTCATTTAAGGTTCATATTTTGCATTAGTTTGAAGAGTAATGCTGTAAACTACAAAAAGTATTCTAAATAGATTTAAAGAATGATCTTACATGACACATTGAAATCTAAATTATTATTATTAGTTATAAAAGTATACAGAGAATGAAACCACTCTTGGTTTAGAAATATGGACTTGCACCACAGTGGGGGTAAAAACGTATAAAATCATTTCAAAGTACAGATTTTAATACAAGTAAAAAAAAAAAAAAAATAAATATATATATATATATATATATATATATATATATATATATATATATATATATATAATAACTGATTATTTACTCTAGGTATAATTTACTTAATTTTCAACAAAGCACTAATGAACAAGGAATAAAAACAGCAAAAAAGTGGAAACGGGAACGAGAGGAAAATCTATTTAGTACAACTCCACATATACTGAAGGTGGTCTTCAGGAATCGTAGATTGATTGCCAAAAGTAGCAGAGGTTGTAAGAAAATTAGGTTAGCCTACAATAACAAAATTTTATCACTCCAATCAACCCTGAGTATGGAGTGAGAGGATAAACCACAGTTTTTAATAATTATTAAACCCATAACATTATAAATCACTAACGAGTATAGCATATAGTTGACTTGTTTTCATATTAACTATCTGGACCCACATTATATCAGATTTCAGAGTACAACCTTATGATTGTTACATCTAACAGGCAGGCAAAGATCATATTGATTACACTGTACAAACATAGGCACAGATGGTTAGTTTTGACATTCCATGTAAAGTATGATTGTTATGATCTTGGCCTACCTGTCATCCATACATGATACTCGAGGATAAATAACTCATTTAAATACCCAAACCTTACCAAATTGAATAGATAATAAAGTGATAGATATTTGATGAAGTGATAATTGATAAACTAATAGATATTTATCAAAATTTACTTCATGTACCTTAACAAGGTTCAACTATATTTTACAATTAAATAACAAGTATTAGTCCCTTGAACTAAAAATTGGTAAAACAATTTTAAAATCTGAGTTTCCATTGCACAAATAAGTAAATCTAAATAAATATATAGTCATACCTTTACCTAGACATAAAAATAAATAGTCTTGCCCAAGAACTTACTACTTCTTTGATAGAATGAGCCCAAAGTTTTGAAAATACTTTACCTTTCATTTAAAGAAGGTAATCCTAAATTTTAATCTTTTATCACAGTTTAAAGGAGAAAAATAATATGATACACTGGTTGATGAGCACAAAGTACATACCTTAAAATGTTATAGTATTTAAGCAAAATTTTTTATAATGAGGTAGAACTATATTGGCCTCATCAAGTTATATCAGATGAAATCAGCAGAGTCTCAATTAAATAATGAAGTCATAATCAAATTTACAGACAATTATTAATACATCACAAGTGAACTAGTTCTTGTTCACTCTGCTGGAAAACTAAATATCAATCACTACAAAGAAAATTTTATAGTGTATATATACTCACATTATTTATAAAAAAAAACTGTCTAAGCTATTCCAAAGTTCTTGTGTATGAAAGGTATTAGCAACTTTTCTGTTACTAATCCTCCAGATTTAACACTGAGCAACTAACTCAGCTAATATAGTAACCTTAATTATGATTTAAGTGTGACAAAAAAAAACGCATCTATTGAATAACAAAATGAACCTACAATCTAATCATTCGATACATTATAAAACTTTTATAACCTGATATTGGGTTAGCCAAAGTTAATAAATTGCGTAAATTGAAAGTATCTATCTAGTAATTTACAAGCTATGAAAACCCATCACCATCACTACTTAAAAAAAAATAAGTACCTTGTTTTAACGTTTCAATAATTTAATGAAGATTGACTATTCTAAACTTCACCATATTATTTTCAACTTGAATTACAATAAACCTATCACGGAAGTTAATAGATAGAATACTTAACAGGGTTGCCATGTCAGTTAAGTATTTTTTTCCAAATTTATTTTCTCCCAATTCCCAAATTTTTTCCAATATCCACCAATTTCAACCCTAAATTTTTAACTCTTATTTTGATGTTATTGAAACCAAAATCCCCCTTCTAGAATAAGATGAGAGTAGATTATGAACAAGATTTTATTCAACATTTTTATTTAATTTAATATATTTAATATTACTTAAATTAGTTATACTATTTGAAAGATCTGATCAAATTAATCATTAATAAGCAAAAAACTAAAACCAAAACATTTAAAAATAAAAAAAAATGTGTTCAAAATTTTAGCCATTCACGTGCCAGCCGGATTTACCACTAGCCTCTGAAGATCCAGCTTATGGGCCCATCCCTCCCTCATCCCAAATGGAAAAATTTTTTTTTTTCATTGATGCCTATTTGTTTCTGTTAGTTAAACGTTTTAGCCTTTCGTTAGGACTTCCGTATTGAGGATTTCAAGCGAGTCGAAACTTAAGCCGTAAATAAAATATTTTATTTTTATTTGTTTTTCAATATGTCTGCAACCGCCAAGTAACTTCATAACCATGCGTAATTTTTATTTCTTGAGAAAATCCAGTTGTTACGAAGAGAGTCGGCAAGAAATGCGACCTAGGAGCATCTAAACTTTTGATGGCCCAGCTCAAAAAAGGCGGTCTATCTCGGAGATATATCGCTTTCAGCTATTATCTAAAAGTGTTTCTATTTATATCAATATCAGAGTCTTCCATAACAATATGGACAAAGAGATCGCTGAACAGCGAAACATACAGCGTTAAGTATGCACTATCTTTATATCCCGCACAGATCAATATTTTACGCTGCCAGCAGTAGCAAATCCAGAATTTAATTTTTTTTTGTTTATATATATATATATATATATGACCATAATTACTTCTTCTTCTTTGTCTTTCTGACATTGCCATTTCTAGTATGGAGGAGTCTCTATCCAGCTCAACCACTCTTCCCAGCCTCTGCTTAACCACTTCATTTGGTTGAAGGATGTGCCTCTTCTACCTTCGATCTCCTGCATGAACTCCTGATATAAAACTCTGGGACGCCCTCGTGGTCTCTTCCCTGTGAGACGAGCCACTAATATCTTTATAGGGTCCATGTCCTCGTTCATGTGGCAGACATGTCCAAATCCAGTTCTCTGATAGTTTCATTTCTTATGCGACCCCTAATGGATAATCCATTCTAATGGGATACCTCCTACCATCATTACTTTGGAAGAAAATGAAAGATAGTAACTATCTATATGAAATGGTGTTATAGTGATTCTTGAAGTCCTATTAAATGTAATTATATGAACAATAATAATTTTAGAAATAATTATATAGTTATATTTTACCATACCAGCCCCAATCACAGTAAAAATATCTACCTCACAATTTCTTAAAATAAAAACTTAAATAAGGAAATAATTAAAAATAAAGTCTGTTTTAATAAAACGATTAACTTTTAATTAACTGAGTATAAACTGTAGATTTTCTATTATTCAAGATGAATACTAAGATAGTAAAATTTATGTAATTTCTCCTTTTAATCAATAAAAATACTTTCTCAATAAAAGTTTAAAAGATGTTTCCTCAAAACTTTAATGATAAAGGCATTTCAACATAACTTTTTGTAGCGAAATATTTTTCAAGACCAAGAATTTTTTCACGCATGAAATTAACTGTTCATTTTTAATGCATATTTATAGTTCTTCAAATGGTAATTAACTATTTATTTATTAATAGTTTCTATGCACAACTCTTATGGATGGCAATAAATAACAATTTATAAAACAAAAATAGAAACTTCTGAAAATTTGAATATCAGGCAGCGGTATTTATTTTGATCGCAGTTCATATTGCTCCTTAAAATTGGCTATTGCATTTTTAAGAAACAATATGTTTCTTGTGTATGAAAATTTAAAGATACTGTTTTATTGGGTAATCAATAATTTATTAATTATAAAATATTTAATTTTAAAAATATTCCTCTTAATAAAAGTATTGAGTATTCATAAAAGATTATACAGACTCATAGAAAGAAAACTTTCAGAGCCACAGACATATGAATGGTACTGTAGAAGATGGGATACAGACGGGAAAAATGAGATTGGCGACAACTGGAAAAACATGGGCTGTCATCAGAGATAAGTTACCAGAACTGCTTCCTAGACTGGTTATACAAGGTGCTGTTTTTGCTCGAATGACCAGTGACCAGAAGCAGCAACTTGTTCTTGAACTACAGAAGATGGGATATTTTGTTGGTAAATATGATATACAAGTATTATTATGTTAGCTCAATTTACTTATTCATAATAGTATCTGTAAGAGTTCACTTTGTGACAGATTATTCTACTTTATGAGTGCTCATGAAATTCTGACTTTTTTTTTTCTATTTTAAATACCTTAATTACTGAAATTGATTTAACCTCTTTGCATTCAACTGACTAAAAGAAAATGTCTCACTTATCTTGCTGGTGTGAGCATAGGAACATTAAAATTACTATTAGGTACAGTCACTGGTATTAATGATGGAGATAATACAGCTAGTGGATGTTTTTTTATTTTTTCCCTACCTGATAGATATCAGAAAAAACCTATACTCTACTAAACAGCACGGAAATATCAAGATATAATTTGTAGGGAATATCCCAAAATAAATATTAACTGAGTTAGATAAGTATATTCACTGTGGCCTTTAAGGCCACAATTTCTTCTTTGACAAGTAATTTCATTGTTCTTGAATTATTTTTTTATCAATAATTGTGTATATTTATTGTTATTATTATTAACATTGGCCTATTCCGAGGAGTTATAAAACCTCTATCAGTGACTTATTTTAGTTATACAGATTTATGACAAATCATGAATTATTTTTAATGATAGAGATGGTCGACCGTGATTATAATTTGAGGAGTTGGTTGGTGGAGGGAGGGAGAGGGAGATGGTTTGGTCAATATATAATAGAACTTTATTGGATTTACCGACGTTTCGACCTATGTTGTAGTTCTTCATCAGGGCTAAAAAAGATTCTAGTTTAATATCAAATAATATTTTATTCTTATGTTATCACAAATTTATTTGCATTATAACTTAAATATTAAATTCACTTTTATATTTTGTGTAGTCCATTATATGAGCCTTTCAGTTGACGGAATGACCAATTCCAATTTCAACATTTTTGAGTAATGTCATTTTAGTGATATTTCTAGTTGGAAAATTTATAATATCTGTACAGACAATAAGCAAGTTGATTCCAGAATAGGTAATTGTAGTGTTAAAATATAGAACTGTGAATAAAAGTATAAATTTTCCCTCTAGAAATATCACTAAAATAAATAATAAAAAATGTTGAAATTGGAGTTAGTTATTCTGTTAACTGAAAGTTACATATATATAATGCATTGTATTCTAATCATTCTGTAATTCACTACATCACTTACGTATGTTATGTTATAAATTCTTCAATTTCATTAATGGTAACTTGTACCAATAAATGTTTATAGTTTGTAATTTTTTTATCTCTGATAAACACATATAACATAGGGCAAAATGTTGGCAAATCCAATAAAATATTATGATAATAAATAGTATTATATATTGACTGCATCTTCCTCCCCCGATCAACACCTCATGAATCATTTTAATAAACTATGGATTTAATTTTGATTCGTTAGAACAGCTTAACATGTCATTATTCTCAATATTTTCATGAGACCACATGTGGATTGTCAACTAACTGTTGACATTGCCCAATTAATTGTCTCTAGAAAGTCTCAAATTGATCAATGATGAAAGAAAGAAACAAAATTATTGTATCATCGAAATAAAAAAAAAATATTTTCTAAAATTATATTGTATAATAAAATGAATTAATCAAAGAGTTCCAATAAAATATATGATTAACTTTTTTTTTTTTTTGGTTAAAGCAATGTGTGGAGATGGAGCAAACGATTGTGGAGCTTTGAAAGCTGCCCACGTCGGGATTTCACTGTCTGAAGCAGAAGCATCTGTGGCTTCCCCTTTCACATCTCAAAATGCTGACATTTCATGTGTTCCAAAAGTAATCAGAGAAGGAAGAGCAGCATTGGTAACTTCATTCGGAGTTTTTAAATTTATGATCCTGTACAGTTTCACCGAGTTTTTTTCAACTTTATTTTTATACCGAATTGACAGTAATATTACAGATTTTCAGTTCCTTTTTATTGACGTTTTTCTTGTGGTGAATTTTGCATTCTTTTTCGGTCAGAGTAAAGCATACAAAGGTCCTATAGTTTCCGAAACACCTTTGTCAAGCATGTTGAATTTTATACCCATTACCTCACTTATACTACAAGCTATTACAATACTTATCATTCAAACTCTATCATTTTATTTCGTTCAACAGTTTCCTTGGTTTCAGCCATTTCATTTTAAATTTAGAAAACAATATAATTCATTTGAGAACTATTCAATTTTTACTGTTTCTCAGTTCCAGTACATCACAATGGCTGTTACATTTTCACAAGGTCCTCCCTACCGAGAACCTATCTATACAAACAAAATATTTTTTGCATCAATCATTATAATGACGGCTGTTTGTTCATACATAACAATATTCCCAGCGAATTGGATAATTAAATTGTTACAGTTACGTTTTCCACCATCGTATGAGTTTTCAGTTCTTGTTCTCGGTTTGGGTTTGGTTAACTTTTTAGTTTGTTTATTTTTTGAAGATTTTATTGTCAACAGGATATTATTTAAAAAGATGAAGTGTGGTATTGACACATCACGACAGGCTTATGTAAAATTAGAAGCAGATTTTGAAAATGCTCAATGGCCACCAGAAGCAAAACGTTTCAGTGTACTGGAAAAATCAGGCAGCATAAACTTTGCTGACTCTGAAAACATAATTGTAACAAAACTATAAACATTTTAAATAATTAGATTAAAAATGTCCAATGAATAATGTATATTACCATGAACATATTGTAAATAATTTTTTAGAATAATGAAAGTATTTCTCTGTGTATATAATTTCATTTCCTGAAAGTATCTGTGATATTTTTGTAATTTTAGAGTATTTTAATACTTAATGTTGTTTTGGCATTTTATAAATACCTACGGGACGTATGCCGTCAATGAAATATGGTCGCAATAAACAAAAATTAGACCTATTTTAATTGCTATATAAGTACAATTTTATGAAATAAATTATAAATATATGTTAATGTTTTAATCTTATTACCTTTGTGGAGTTTTTGGAAAATACCCTTTTTTATTTCATAAATTTTTCATTTTCAACAATCATTATTACTTCTTAAATAGCTATTTTAATATTATTTATTTATTTGTTAAGCAATTTACAAAATAACTAGTATAAACACATTCAGTATAACAATACACATATTCAATAAGAAGAAACAAAATATAATTTTAAAAAATAACAGAACTAGAAGAACTTTTTAACTTATTATTGACAATATAATTTTAGTATTACCAACAAATGGTTTAGTTCGATACCTGTAGGTTAGGAACAGCTTTTCTTATATAATATTATCTATAAATACTCATGTGTAACATTGTGTTTGTAAAATATAATTTGAATGTTTTCTATCCTTGTTTTCTGGATAAAGATGAGTGCTGCTTAACTTGTCATTTAGGAATGTTTTCTGTAGCAAGGGGAAGGGAGGAATTGACCAAAACAAAATACTTTCAACACATATAATTTATATTAAATATCCAATTTCAGAATAGTTCTACTTTCTGAGACTAATTATAAAAGTAAATAAGTCTAAATAAAAACCAAGTTATTTATTAAACATTGTATTTATTTATTAAAAAATAACATTTAAGGTATCATAAGAAGGCGAGATAAACCTTATATTTATTAAATGTGAAAATGACTTCTCAGTTTATGTTTTCAATATTTATTTCATTGCTTATTTTTAACATTTGGAATAAGTTAGTCGGAGGCAGGTTCATGATGGGGGGTGACTATAGTTGTGTCTAGACGACATTTACCGCCTGGCGATTCCAAACCTGAGGGTACCTCTCATCTTGCTCGATTGTTCACCTTGCCTGATTCCTGAGAACAGCAAGGCAAGTAGTTCTCCTGCATTCATAGGTCCTTCAGGAACGGCACCTTGTCCTGAAATAAGAATAGTCGATAACACAGGATCAAAGTTGAGAGAAAACTTAATACCTCAAAAAATAGTTAGTTATTCATAGCAGACCTGGAGAATAAGTATTTCAATTATTATTTTAAAATGAAATATTTATAATAACAGATATCTTATATTTTTAAAAAACAGAGTATTTGTTAATGAGATCAATGTCAAAGAGTGAGACTTTATTACAATTTTAAGTAGTGGTCAAGGCATCAGTAGTATTAGTCATAAAATATTTTATTATTCAATCATCCAAATTTTCAATAATTCATGCATCTTCAGGAATATAGTACAATTTAAAAATCTTTCCTGGAAGATTTGGTGTGTATTGTACGGGGGAGTACATGTGCAAGGCTGGGCACCGCTACACAAGTATGTTTTATTCTTGAAGGTCTGCTAAGATTTTTAAGGCCTCCTAAGAAGCCTATTATTAAAAATTTCAAGACATAGCAGTGTGTTAAACATAATAATGCAATTTGAATTATCATTTGCATTAATCCATGGAATAATATAAAATAAACTTGAAAATGGTTTCAAACCCATAATGGCTTAGCTTCTATTGAATAGAAATCAAACATACCTATTCAAGAAGAAAGAGAATTTTTAAAAATATGTAGATGTATAAAACATTTTCGATATTGAATCAAAATCAAACTTACAAGGCTTTTATTATAACTACCTATGAACGTAAAATGCGAAAATGACATCAATAATAAGTATATAAACAAATAAAGACAATTAAGATGAGTCAAAAATGTCAAATTTAATAACAGTATCAAATATGTGATTCGAAATAATTCTTAATGAGCAAAAAATATTGTATTTAAAAGGGTAAAGTTATTATTCTGAAATTCTTATACCATAATAATGATATAAGATGATATAATTATAACAAATCTTTTTTATAAAATGAACGGGTTTTTACATGTTTGAAAAATTGAAATAATGAAATTTTCAATTAATTTTAAAACAATAAAAAATGAGATAAACTAAGAGAAATAATACCGGAAAGTTTTAAACAAGGATTTAATAATTAGCAGAAATTATTGTATTTAAAACGTATTTCGTCTACAAAAATAATTATTATTTTGAGTTTTGGGTGTTGTGTGAATCAATGAAATATTTAAATATGGAAAAAGTAAAATAAATAAAAAAAATGCAGGTAAAACGGCGTTTCAAATGGTTCTTGCCGTAAAAGAATAGTCGATTGAAATAGAATTAATGGCCAGAGCAGTTTTTGTTAACAAAAGAATCAGGGCTCGATGTCCAAACGTAACTTATGAATGGAATAGTAATCGAAGGCTCTTGACAACCTCTTTCATTCATTCATTCAACGGCCCAGGCACTGTTCAACAAAGGAGCATCAATAGAAAAAGCTGAACTGCAAAAGCGAATGACTCGGACTTTAAAGGAAAATGACGTCAACAACCACGGACGATTAAAAAATATTCTCAATAAAACCAAGAATTATCAAGACATCAAATATAAAAAAAAATATTTAAATAAAATTAAATAAATAAAAAAATTGAACTTTACGATATCCGTACATATATTATTACAGTAAGGCTCGAAATCGGTTTTGTACCAAATATAAGCTCCTGTCATGCTCAAATACCATGAATGGGGTACCGTTGGATTCAGAATTTCACGGGGGGTTAGCGAATCGTATTCTCCACTTTTGTTTTTCTTTCTAAAATAAATAAAGTCGATACAAACATATTGCTAGGCTTCAATACCTGAACAGTTTTAGGTCTGTAGATGGATACGGGACAAATTGGATCTAGAAGATTTTGATGCGTACAACAAGACCCGGATAGTTCTTCCGGAACTATCAGATCCTACACTTTTAAGCCCAAAAACGTACTATTTTAGAGATAACGCAAGGCATAGGGTTCGCATCCACATAACCTTACATTAATTGTAGTACTGCCATTGAATATATGTCTCATTTCGTCGACTTGCGGTCTCTATGATCGAGAGAGGAGTTTATATTATTTATCGATGGTGTTTTTGATTCGCAAGTTTTTCAACAAATCTCAAGATTGAGCCACCAATTTCGAAGGCTTCCTTCTCCTTCAGGCGGACAAAATAATCCAATCACCCCGAAAATTCTGGCAAACAAGTTATAAAAGAAAACAAACTTTATTTGCGAATAACTAAAAAATTACACTCTTTTCCCTCGGTCATGCCCGTGATTATATAAAAGATTAATAAATTCCCTATAAAAGGAAAAAAAAAAAAAATCGAAATCGATTAGAAATTTTTTCCAATATTTGTTTTCATTTAATTATTTATTTTTTCTTATTTTCGATTAATATTCATTAGGAAAGTTCAATTATAGCCCATTTCATTTGAAAATAACTATATATTTGGCATATAGCTATAGTATCGGTACGACGTTGAAACAATTTGTACTGACCGAAGGAGGAAAGTGGGTTCAAATATATATATTTTTTAAGGGAAAACAGAGTTGAGATTTGTATTTCGCTCCTCTATAAAGTTTCAAATACGAATTTTCATAGAAATAAAAAAAATATTTTTTTTGCACCAAATCGGAACCAAGCCTCCCACCCCCCTTCGATCTTCTTTCGAAAATCACAAAAAGTGGACAATTGAAATCGGACAATTTTTAGCAAAGATACAGCATACTGAAATATGTAAACATGTTGGTTCCAAACAAAAATGAAGATTTAAATTAATTTTTGTTTCATTTGTTATATTACATTTATCGATAAAGTAACATTTGATTTCTTTATCTTTTGATAGGTTGCATTATTTTATTTTCTTATTAATCTGGCATTTGATAACAATATGCTGTGCGAATTTTGCGCACGGGCCTACTAGTTATTATTAAATGTAGTTGTGCCCAATACGCACTTGCCCCTGTTTTAAGCGGTTGTCATGATTTTTTAATCTTTAAGTATCTGTATAACGATAAAAAACAAACAATTCTTTCGGTGAAAGTCTAATATATTTTTTTATCTAAGCAAATACATAACTTTGGCATACAAATCTGTGGACAATACATATGAAGTGATTAAGTTAGTAAATCTCTTGACCACCACCTAAAAATTTGTCGAGGTGGGATATACGAATGCGTGGTGGAAATAACTTTCGGCGCCCTTTCTATATAAAGTTATATTTTATGATAACCAAACTTCTTTAGGTTAGTGATCTTTTTTTGTGAGACTTTTTAATTAATGTTATGTTTAATCTATATATGATTATTTTTTTTTATAAAAACCTTTTTTAATCTCATAGTCTTTTATTATACATTTAAAAACATGTTTTCAATATTTAAAAAATATTATTCTTTAATGTTTCGGCACCTTCATTTTCAAAAATTCTTTTTATTATTATTTAAGGGCATGTTTTAGAAAAAGAGGTGATAAAAAAGAAAAAAGAAATTCAGATAAAAAGTTTTTTATTATCTATTTTTAGGTTCTTTTTTCGTCAGTTTTTTTCAGTAATGAAACCAATTTTGCCACAAAAAATATTTCTAATATAAAATAGTGTTTTTGTTTTTTAAAAAACTTTTGTAATAAATTATTGCATTAAAAAAAATTTGTTAAATTACAGAATCAAATTTTTGATAAAATAAGGAAAAGAAGAGAAATTTTGAGGCTATTCGGAAAAATAATAATAATAAAAAATTTTTTTTTTAGATTTAATAAAACAAGTACTACCATATAGACTAGTATTTTATATACGAATATATTTTAAGAAATTTTAGATATAATGTTTTTAATAAGACTGTTTTTTTTGGTGTTTTTTTAAAGAAATTGAATTTTTGAAAATGACTCCAGGAGCTGAAAAATAAAATAATAATTTTTAAATATTGTTAAAATGTTTTAAATGTATAATAAAAGACTGTGAGATTAAAAAGGATTTAAAAAAAAAATAAGCACATATAGATTAAATATAATAGTTATATTTTCAGTTACAACTTCGTCACCATTCTACCTTATTTTGTCTGCGACAAGATACATTACGACATTTTACATAAAATCAGAGGGTATGTTTTATTTATTTAGATGAAATCGATATATTTATACTGAAAAACGTTGCATCGCA